AACTTTACTCTTGAGATGAATAATCCACCCAGAAGTAGAGCAGACACAATTTAAGTCATTACATCTGTAAATCTGTTATCCAAACAAACAAACCTGCTCTTAACCTAGTTAAGATTTACATACATGTGCTAGAGCAGTTCAGCGGCCTGGCTCACATGTCATTCACTGTTACCCTTTTACCATCAATATGCGCGAAATGCCCTCTGAAACCCGCTTTCTTCCCTTCCTTCCTCGCCTGTTCCAGCAGCGGCCACAATTTGTTCCTGGCATCCTTGGCATCTTGGGTCAGGTCTTCGAAGATTTAGATTTTTTTTGTCCTTGAGTATGGTCAATGTTCTGGCGTCCTTCCAAATCTTGTCCCTCTGGGTTCGTGATAGAAACCGCACAATGATACGGCGGTTGGAACGTGCCTCTCCCGAGCGGGGTCCTAGTCTGTGAGCGATGTCAACGGAAAAGGCCAGTTGTTCTGCGATGTCTGGTGAGACCTGGCTGAATAGGTCCACCATAATTTTTTTTACATTTTCTCCCGCTTGTTCCTTTACCCCGGTGACGCGTAGATTCCACCTCCTCTTGTAATTATCAAGTTCATTGCACCTGTCACGGAGCACACCGTTTTCTTTCTCCAAGAATCCGACTTTTTTCTCTAGGGTCTCAACTTTGTCTGTTGCTTCTTTTAGTTGTTTCCCCATATATTCCATAGCGTCAGTGACACTTTTTATTAGGGATGTCCCGATCAGGGTTTTTTGCCCTCGAGTCCGAGTCCGAGTCATTTGATTTTGAGTATCTACCTATACCGAGTCCCGATCCGATACTTATATAATACATAAAAAAAGAATAAAGAAGAGAGAAAAAACAGATCCAGGATGTTCCTTATTTTTTATTTAATTCACCTTATTTTAACATTCAACAACTCTGTTAACAAACAGAGCACTTCTGTGAGGTAGCTTGAACAATCAAGTAATAAACAACATAAAATCTTCACTTTTGGACTTTAGTGCAACAGTAAATATAGAAAAAGTCTAATATAAAAACAAATAGCACCTTAACTTAAAATACCCGGCAGGCATGTAAACAAAAAATAAAAATGTTATAAAAGTGTATAAAAAAATAATGAGAATATATATACATTAGGGTTGTAACAGTTCACAAAATTTGCGGTTCAATACGATACAGCAAAAAGAAAGAAATGCCAGAGAAATTTCCTATTTATTAAAAGAAAAAATATTTTTAAATAAGTTTGAGTTTTCCTACATCTTGAAACTTTCAGGTTTATAAATGGGGGTAATCTTTGAAGGATGAACAAATAATGTTTTGGTAATCACATTAAAAATAACATTTAAATATATATTTATATAATATTTGAGTTTTGAAGTGCAACATTAAATCCATGTTCATTCACGGCACAATGTTTCTCCTGGTTTCCACGTCAGCGCTGTTTGATCTAATAGAGATCTACGGTTAATAACGGAGAAATGTGAATGCTTCTGTTGCTCACTAGATCTCGCAGCGATGTTATTACTTCAGTGGTGAATTCAAATGTTTTCTTCACTGGATCTCTTAGCACAGTGTCGCTTGATCTCGCGCTGCACAGATGTTGCTGGTCCGAACTGATAAATGGTCCGTTAAGCACAATATAATGAGAAGCGCAGTTTCGTTCCGCTTTCATTACGTTTGCCATTTGATGTTGCGCAACGTTGTGGTGATCGCGCCAGCGCGGATTTTGTCTGCAGGAAAAATGGTCCTAGGAATCATTGGTTTGTATGCGTACCGAACCGGAAGCCTTGTACCGAAACAGTTCAATAATTACGAATACATGTACCGTTACACCCCTAATTTACATATATCCGAGTCCTGATCGGGAGGTAACGTCCGATTCCGATCGAGTCTGAAACCACGTGATCAGGCCCGATTTCCGATCGTGTGATCGGATCGGGACATCCCTACTTTTTATGGTGCAAGTGTTATCTTTAACCAGTGATGGAGTACTCGAGTCCTTATTCTCTGGATTCGAGTCCGACTCGAGACTCCATGCTCTGGACTTGTGACTCGACTTGGACTCGCGGACTGATGAATAGTACTTGGACTCGGACTCGAGAATATATAAAATCGGACTTGAGCATTCATCAAATGAATGACGTTGTTTCTGACTAAATAGGTTATAAAAAATTGATATAAGATGTTACACTTTTCCTGTTTCGGGGTCCAAGACCGGCCGTGATCTATTTTTTCCCTCACAGACACTGCTACCGCTCGCTCTCCTTGCTTGACAACACACTCACTGACGTCACTCATTTTACGCCGCATTCTCGTGAGAGAGTTAACGTAACACTCATTTAACACTAGATAAGTTCCTCTACATCTAATCAGTAATTTCGATTTTGGCACGCTTTGCAGCAGCTGAGCTGACCACTAAGGAGCGAACGTACAGTGACGTAACATAACTGCCAGGTTTAAACTGTGCTTTCGTGCTATGGCTGGCGCTGAGCCAAAGTCGGACGCGCTCAGCGCTTAATCCCATTTATCATACAATAACACAATTAGGCCTATGTTTATTTTAGCTAACAAACTAGACGGCGACCTTGACTATGTCACACATCGCAACCAGTCTTTTCCTGCGGAGGTACAACTGCTTTTAGCACTGCATTTTCTGTTTTTTTGCCGCAGTTACATTGGGATTAGTTTGCTTTTCAAAATTTCAAAAATGTTTTTCTTTTACCATATTCGTCAAGAAGAATGCATTTCTCATCCTCTGTCCAATTAGGCTTTCTTTTATTTTTTCTTTATCCATTCCAGTTGACTGATCATCCAAAAATGTATTTAAACAATTAAATAGCCTAAATATAATCGTGCCACAGCTAGTTGACAAGGATTTGAACTAAGGTCAAAGGCAATTCTAGTGATATCATACACATTTATAGCTGCAAGAAAGAGTGCCTGAAAAATGTTGCTTGATTTAGCTTAAGTGTGGCCTATATAATTTCGACTCGGACTCGAACACGGGACTCGACTCGGACTTGAACTCCGGTAATGGTGACTCGACTTGGACTCGACTCGGAGTCTTCTTTGGTGACTCGGACTTGGACTCGGACTCGAACACTGGGACTCGAGACTCGACTCGGACTCAACAGTTAGTGACTCGACTACAACACTGTCTTTAACTGTCGCCTCCAACGACTGCAACCTCCTCAGTGACTCCTGTTGCATTTTTTCAACCCTCTCCATTATTATTAGCAGAACAGAATTTGGGCACAGACTGACCTTCATTGTCTTCAATTATTTTGCTTCTCTTGGCGGCTCGAAGCTTCGGCGAATTAGGCAACGGTTGCGCCGAGTCCGAGCCCTCCTGTTCCGGCAAAGTTACCTCCATCTCGCCTTCTTCAGCCTGGGTCTGTGGAGCCTTCTTGGCGTATGAGTGCATAATGCTGACTAATATCTTCCTCTTTGTCCATTTTTTAAGAATATGAGGATCAACTGAGGGCTACTGGTCGAGTAGAAGAAGTGACAGTCTGTTTGAAAAGTTAAGTTAGCCGTTAGTGGTTTGCGTTAGCCACTAACTTCAGCCAATTTTCAAAAAAGCCGAAAAAGCAAGGAAACACGTATAAATATCTTCTTCAAAAAGTCTCTGATTTGTCAAGCATTAGGATAGCATTTTAAAGCCCTCAATTCGTGTTAACTGTTAAAAAAACCGAGGTTTGCTACTTATTGCAGAGCGACAGCAGAGTGATGTTTCCTCGACGCCATCTCGCCACCCGACCAGTTGCGCGCAGTTGCTCTCCACCGACTGCGCTGATCAAAAGCACGATGGGAAACGACTTGCTGACGACACAGCTTAATGCTCATTGTTTTAAACAACCGTGATGTATTGTTCTCTTTTAAAATGTTTGATTTTAAAACTCTGATATCATGTTTTATGTGTACGTTATGTATGAATATTCCCAAACTCTCTGACAGTGCGATATGGGTTATGTGATGTCATTTTTATTTAAAACATATATATTAAAAACACATGACTGTATTAAAAGAAAAATGATTGATAAACACGTATTTGGAATGTAATTAAATAACAAGTACTTTGGGTGTCTTGTTCATTATATTTATTTTCATATAAAAGCAACAGAACTTAAATTACATCCAGATTATTAGCAACACCGACGCCGTGCAGCCGCCTACTCTCGCATACATTTCAGGCGAGGCAAGGCGCATCTCAAACAAGCCTATCATCATCTGCGCGTGTCTGATCAGTTGACGTTATTCCTGTTGACGTCACTTACGTCTGATGTCATACGTAGAAAGCTTGGCGTACGGAAGCTGAAGAGCTACGATATTTTGTTGTCAAAGTAGTATTTCACCCTAATTTAAGTATTTTCATGCAATAAAGTCAAATAAAACATATATTGATAATATTGCGCCACCATAATGATCAGGTATGTTTGTTGAATGCAAAAAATGAAACGCTATTTGGACACACGTGTCGCACACATCAACAATGAACGTTAGCTTGTTGCTCGTGTTTGGCCTGCTGTGTTTTGGTTGTGAAATGCTTAATTTAACTAGAATTAAAAGGGAATTTTTAGGGTTGTTAAAATATTAATCATGAATTGGTTAAGTTATGATTATAAACTTTTTATGCATTGTTTATCTGCTGTAACTATTATTTTGATCAAGTGGTTAGCAGTTAGCATTAGCAATCTTTATTTTATTTTGGTACATATGCAGGTAGTTATATTTGATATAGTAGTTTTATTTGTAGTGAATTCAAGGTTTTACCAATAGTTGCTCCCTTAAAAACATTTACTGCCAGTTTGTAACATATTTAGAGATTAACTTTATTTCTTATCAGAGATTAGTGATAAAACTAAGTATGGGATGGACACCCTATCTTTTCTTACCATCTTACCTTTATTATGTGTGAATCAAACTCATGACTTTAGTGTTTGTGTCATGTTATTCAAGTTGAATCAAAGGAAGTTAAATAAACTTGCTATTTTCTGTTTCTGCAGTTGCGACTTCATCTGTGTGTTTGCGGTGCTGATAAACAAAGGTAAGCACTTAAACTACATTTGAAAGTTGAATGAATGCCACTGACTGTTAAAGTACATTTACAATTAAAGTTTCTGTTGTTTCAGTGTGTCTGCAGGAAACAGTAGAGGCTGTTATTGGCGGTTCTGTTCTCCTGCCGTGTTCTTCCACTGAAGAAGATCATAAACTTCGAGACATTAATGTGTTTTGGAGACACAATGGCAGCAAGATTGTGTGTGATATAATTCCCAGCAGTCATTCACTAGAGAAACAGGATCCAGAGTATAAAAACAGAATTGAAACTTTTCCAGAGGAGTATGAGAGAGGAAACTTCTCCATCAAACTCAACAAACTTATTTATGCTGATGGAGGAAAATACACCTGCCTCATCACACACTCATCAGATGCCTCATATCCTACTGTACAGCTGATCATTATGGGTGTGTGAAAATAGTAGATTAGGGCATGAAGTTTTTAATTAAATTAAATTAGTTTGCTTTAAAATCTAAATACTGCAAGAAGTTGTTCCCTTATTTGATGTTCACTTGTGATGTTTGAGTCTGAATGCTTCTGTATATAAATTATAGACCGATCTGTTATCTTTATCACTGTGAGGTAACATTTCCTGTTATAATTTTTGTTGCAGAATCAACAGCAGGAAAACGAACCGTATCGACTGAACAAGAAAAACAAGGAGAAACAGAACTGAACAGTGTGGAAACATCATCGCCTTGGCTCTGGGTTGGCATTGCATCTGTATTTATAGTTATAGTTATAGGTTTTATTGTAGCTTGGCGGATAAGAAAGAACTCAAGCAGTCGTAGGGCAGACAGACACGACATGGGTTCAGACGCTCATGAGGTTGAACCTATGAATAATTAATAGCTGATAATAATGATAAAGCAGTTGGTATGTGACACAACTGTAAAGCTGTAACAGCTGCAACTGCTTGAGCTTTAGCGCTAAACACAGAGTCAGTGGAGGAGATTGATGCTTTCATTTTTGCTGCCACAACTTTAGACAGAAGAAAGTAATAAATAAGCAGAAGACTGTAAAGGATTTGGTTGAATAACAGAGAACAGAATGGAATCATGTAGATTGAGTGAGTGTGTGTTGCTGTATTTCCTGCTGATCACATTAAGCCTATAACAGTTTTATTTTACAGCTGTTAGGATGTATTTCTTGGGGAAACATCATTAGCCGCGTTTCCACTGCCGGGCCAGGGCCGAGCCGTGCTACTGCGTGCCAGGGCCAGTCGCGTTTCCACTGTCACTTCCGGGGCTTGATCAGGGCTTACTCAGGGCCAACGGCCAGGATTTCTGGCCCGTCGAATACCTTGGGCCAGCTCGGGCTAGAGGCGTGCTTAAGGTAAAAGGCGGAGTTTATCAGTGTTATGGAACATTATGATCTGAAGCAAGATGCACATTTCACGTTTTTATATCGCACAAAATAATCGCTGCTCGAAATGGAGAATCGCCTGTACTGGTCTGTCGAAGATACCAAAGCTCTTCTGAGCATTTGGGCAGAAGAAAGGGTACAACATCAATTTGACGGCGTGTGAAGAAACGAGGACGTTATAAAATACATCGATGCTAAACTTTCTAAGCTAAGCATTCAGCGAGCAACGCTTCAAGTTCAGGAAAGAATAAAAAAAAGTTGCGGGCGCAGTATTGTACAAGGCGATTAAAACGCACGATGAACAAAGCGGAGCTCAGAGAAGGGATTTTCCATGGATCGACTTGATGGACGGTGTGCTGCGTCCCTCTGTTAGTGGCGACTCGCGAGACAATCGGGACACTATTGCAGCCACGGTCGGTGAGTTAATATACATGCTATCTTCCTAACTTAAAAAATAAATAAATGCATAATACCCGCTGAAATGGGCTGGGTTGTATGACGTTTGATCCAGAAAGGCGTGTTAGGGGCGGGGTTTATGGTAGCGCTGCTGGGCTACTGGCTTGGCAGTGGAAACGCAAGCCTGGTGCTTGAGGCCCGAGGCCACTGGCTTGGCTCGGCTCGCTGTTAGTCCTGGCCCGGCCCTGGCCCGACAGTGGAAACGCGGCTATTCTTCCTTTCATTCATCCGTGCGCGTTTGTCTCATATCTGTAAATATAGGAAAGAAGGTCATCACTATATGCAGTGGAAGGTGTTTAAAGCCACAAAAAATAAGTTTATTGTCGAGACCGATGGTGGCCAAAGCTTTATGACTATTTATTAAATTAATTTATTTTTTGGATAGAAAGAGTTTAATGTTGTTAGTGACACTTGCACTGATAAGACGATCACCTGTAAGCATGGGATCAGTATGTAGAACTAATCCTGCACATAAGAAAAATCTATCATGTTTTGGGAGATCATAATTATGAGATTAAAAAGTTACTGAAATTATGACATAAAATGTCAATTATGCAATAAGTCAGAATTATGAGAAGAAAGTTGAAATTATGACTTAAAAAATTGAAATGCATAAAAAAATCAATATGGACAAAGTCCTAATTATGATAAAGGGGTTGAAAGTGATGCACCTCAAACCATCAGATTCATGAAAAGCGGAGCGACTCACAACTCTTATATTTACCAGAACTTAATATTCCTCCACAAGTATTTTATTCTGCAACTGATAAAGGACCAAACGTTACGTATTCTTGCCTTAATGACTATATTTATATTTTGTACCCTTTATGATTGCCACTTTTAAGTGAAGTGCTTTACTAGTCAGTGTGTAAAGTGTCCTATAACTTTGCATTGTCTTTCCACTTTATAAATTACATTTAGTTTTTACAGTTTTCTGAAGTAAAAGACACTGTTTTGTACTGTTGTGTTCTTGCCTTATGCACTGCGTTCTTATTAACAGAAAGAGACCTTGAAAAAGTACATTTTTGGTTAAAAGACAAGTGAGTCTACCAATATGTTGCTGCCTTAACAATTATGTAAAAATTAATCTTGAAAATAATGCTTTATTTGCGGGAACTGATTTTTTCTAAATGTATTTCAATATTCTCATGTATAAACAGAGGAAACAATGAACAGTTTCATTGTATTTGCATGATCTTATGATTTTCAAGACCCAATAAAATGTTTTGATGAAATAATGCATCTGTCTGAATCGTTTGGATATTTATAATACCAAATGTTTTGCATTTACATTTATTCATTTGGATGATGCTTTTATCCAAAGTGAGAAAGCATAAATGTGGTTTCTGGTTTAAAGTATACAAAAACAAAACACAGCACATCATTGGTTTATGAGTTTAGTTTGGTTCATATAGATAAATCTCAGTATCTGAACATCAGTGTCTCCTCATCACAACTAACTCTTCCTGTAGATGTGTGTGTTTAGGGCAGTGCACTGGGACTGCACTGAGCTCCAGCTGTATCTCAGCATCATAACATCACAATAAACACATGGGACTGGGCTTTTCTCATGTGTGTTTATGACAAACATCCTGACGCTCAGTTTCCACATCAACACCACTCCTTACTAGTCAATGTATAACATCAGATACTGGCATCAGGTCACAGCTCTGAAAACTATTGAAGAAATCAAACTGAATGCCTCTGTGTATTTCAGAAACAGTATGACGGCAATAGGCATTAATTATTTTGACCATATACTACAAAACAATACAAAATGCTATAATACGATACAAAAGAATATGTCAAAAGTAAGAGAAGTGCAAACCTGGCTGTGAGGGTTGTGAGTTCCTGTCATGATAAGAGTAACCAGTGAGACAGAACAATAATATCAACCCTGAATAACAACAAAACAAAACATTGTGTACTTTTTCTGCCATTCTTTCAGTTTCTCTGTAGATCAGAATGAGGATGTAACTGGTAATAATAAACAAAACCAAGGCATGACTGTATATGGGACACACTGTACCTGCGCACTCACACACACATCTAGTCTGACAACAATCCTGAATCTCTCTGAGTCATTCCTCCCGGGATCAGAGAATACAGTCTCTTCTACAGTCTGTCAGGATGAAAACAAGGGAACTATGAGGAAGATCTTGAGCCCATTTGAAAGGCAAATTCATGAAAAATACAGGCTGTATTTCCCTGTTGTTTTCAATTCTCTTTTTCATTTTTCTCTGTAGGTCAGATTAAGGATGTTGCTGGAAGCTCTGAAATCTTGTCCTGCTGTTACAGAGTTAATAATCTAAAGTCAAGACATGACAATGTATCAAGAGACTCAATGACAGAATTATAATATAAGACATCATTCAGAGAAATGTTTTAAATTAAACTGGTGGAACCGCAAAAACTGCTTCTGTTTATGACGTCCAGAATGTCCTTCACTAACTCAAAAAATGTCCTCACTAGTTAAACCTGTTAAACACCAGCTAGTGTTCCAGATCTCACTATAGTTAAAATAGCTTATAAACAGGCCAGATCATGTTTATTTAAATCTAATGATCACTATTATCACTGACAAAACATGAGATAATTTAACCTCAAAGACATCGTATCCCGTCTGTCTGGGAATCAAACTTTGACTGTCATTATTACAGTGTCATGATTGAGTTACAGGAACTTGTTTGTTCTGTTTCTGCAGTCGCCGCTTCATCTGTGTGTTTGCAGTGCTGATAAATAAAGGTGAACAGTCCCTGATGAGTTTCTGAGAGAAATATCTTCTCACACAAACTCAACAACATGATGCATGTTCCCTTATTCTGAACAGGAGACTGTAAAGCCGTCAATGGTGTGTAAAACTAGTTGATTAATATATAATTTTAATTTTAAAAAGTTGTATCAAATCTAAAGACAAGAAGTGTGAGACCAACTGATGCTCCAGCCTGAATGTTGCTGTATGTAAATTATAGGGAAATTATAGGAAAAAGGAAACAAATCCACTATAAACCAAGCAGAAGATATGGGAGAAGCAGACAGTGTTAATATAATAGCCTTTAATATTTGCATTGCATCAGCTGTATTATCCACAGTGCTTATGGTTTATTTCATATTTCTCTTGAGAAGAAAATAGTTGACTCATTCTATTCTGTCTCAGTGCAACACCATTCTGGTAAATCATCAAACAGTGTCATCAGGTGATACACTTCTGCAAACTAAAAAAGACAAAAACAAACTGAACGTATCTATGTATTAAGAACCAGACACTATGAGAACAGGCTTCATTGTGTTCATATAACACAAAAACAGAATACAACAAAGCGGTAATACAAATACTCTGCTTTTGCACACAAAGTTTTTTATTACACACACACACACGCACGCACACACACACACACACACACACACACACACACACACACACACACACACACACACACAAAAAGGACAAATGTTATTACAAAAATTTTACTGGATTATTACAATCAATGTCAAAATGAATGTTTGGAAATGTAAACTGATATTTCCTTCTGGCGCAATGAGGCAAAATATATAAACAAGTGTTTTAAAACTATGTTATTTGGTACTAACACGCCTAAAACCTGTTCACAGTACTGTATATTTACATGATGTGATCAATAATATCTTAAATGTGGGGCATTTGAAATGTCTGGATAAAGTGTTAAGAGCTTTAAGTGTATCTTAATTTTTTTCCCATTTATTTACTGTAGCCTACACTGTAAAAACTAAAGTAGTAGTAGTAATACTTTATTAATCCCCAAGGGGAAATTCTTTGTCACAATTGCCCACATTGGTGCCTCAAGGTGCCTCAAATATCCTGTCGGATACTCAATGAACTTAAAAATGTAATTTAAGCGCCTCAAAGACAAAACAGGAGTGTCAGGGCTCTGTCACAAAACGTCTCAGGTTACGTATGTAACCCTGGTTCCCTGAGAGGGAACGAGACGCTGCGTTTGAGACGCGGTGGGAACGCCCTGCGTGATTGCGTCATGAAGCACGTGTAAAATCAGTCCAATGGAAGCCCGATACGTCATAGGTGACGTCATAGACCAGGAAACTATAAAGCACCCTTGAAAACAGACCGCGACAGCTTCTGAAAAGTCTGAAGTAAGTCGATCAGGGTATGCAGGAAGTATGGCAGGCAAACGCAGCGTCTCGTTCCCTCTCAGGGAACCAGGGTTACATATACGTAACCTGAGACGTTCCCTTTCAAGGGAACTTCGAGCTGCGTTTGAGACGCGGTGGGAACCCCATACCCACTACGCCATAATGACAAATGCCCGTTCTGTGTGAAGTCCTTAGCGCACACTAAGAAGCAAGCAACCTCGCCCCAGGAGT